GAGTATAGTTTTGGGACTTCCCCAGTGGCGCAGTGGTTAAGAATCCGCCTGCCAATGCAGGGGACATGGGTTCGATCCCTGGTCCTGGAAGATCCGACATGCCGCGGAGCAACTAAGCCCATGTGCCACAATTACTGAGCCTGCGCTCTAGAGCCCGTGAGCCACAACTACTGAAGCCTGCGCGCCTAGAGCCCGTGCTCCGCAACAAGAGAAGCCACTGCAATGAGAAGCCCGCACACCCCAACGAAGAGTAGCCCTTGCTCGCCATAACTAGAGAAAGCCCGCGCTCAGCAACAAAGACCCAACGCAGCCAAAAATAAATAAATAAATAAATAATTTAAAAATTGTTAAAAAGAAAAGGAATATAGTTTTTTAAAAATGACTATTAAGCACTACTCCCAAATTATACAAAACAAAAATAATGTGAGAGAAGGCTCTCAGACATTCACACCTAAATGTGAATTTATTATTCAGATTTATAATGCTGAAGGGAATAAAACATTATTTACAAATTCAAAAGCTGAAGATCAGGGTAATAGATTCAAGTTCAAGTAGATATTAAGGGACCACAACATTAGGGTACAGAGTACTAAACAGAAGGCTCTGAATAGCCAAAAGGTGGAGCCATGAAGTTGCTGGGCTCTGTGAAGAAGGAGCAGAGTAAATATAAGTGGCTGAATGCAGCCCAAAGCTGAGAATTTGGTGAGGAATTTGCCCTGCCCCCTCCTTCTTTCAGGAGACATGGAAAGGTATTTTATCTTCTTAGGATCTGTCCCCCTTTCCTTGCTAATAGGGAAGCCAGCCTTTAGCAGGAGGACCCCTTAAATCCATCCTCCCCCTTGCTGGCATTTGCCTACATGCTTATCTTTTTCACTCTCCTCCCTGAAACCCTTCAGTGGCTGTCCAAAACAAGGCCTATGAAGCCTTCCAAGATATGACACTTAAAAACAAAAACACACACACACAAGAAGATATGACACTTGTCGTGTTCTCACCACTGCTTTCCTCATAGTTAAGATCCTGGCAACAAGAGCTACTTACAGTTCCCTATACATAGGCTGTTTTATTAGCTATTCTGTGCCTTTGCCTGGATGCACGTTCCCACTTCCGTCTTTTACCTCACTTAATTCACATTCAGTCATCATGGCCCAAAAGCTTTCTCTGAACTCCCACCCGCATTCCTGGGCTGAGCCAGGCTTCCTTGTTCAGAGCTCTCAAATCATCACACTTAGTCACTGCCATGGACCTAGGTTTATGTGTCCATCTATTTCACTAGATTCTGAGCTCTCAAGGGCAGAGACTGAGAACTCCTTATTCACTTTTATATCCCAAACATAGTGCCTGGCACCTCGTAGGTACACAGCACCTGCAGTAGGTGCTGATGAACCAAGCACCTCAGTAGGAATGGAGCCCCTATTCCATCTTGGGTATAAATACAGAACTCACACTTACTCAGATGCAGAGGCAACTGAGATCCCCTCCTCTCAGTCACAGCTATCTGGAATCCCACCGCCTATAATCAAAACTTCCCCCTTTCTCAATCCAGCACTGGGAGTCCTTCTTCCCTCCTTGGTTTAACTAAAATCTGGCTCTTACTGGAAAATACTCCCATATAGCGTTCTCATACATATGTTGCTTATTCCCTCACATTCAGTGTACACTGGTGTCCTCCTCTCTTCCTCAAAGCTTCCTGATTATTACTCCTTGACTTTCACATAAACGCCCTGGTCCCTTTGAAAATCTGTGGTAATCTCACCTTTCCCCCCTGCTAATTCAGGTAATTTACCAACCTCCACCACTTCCTGGTATTTTGGCACCTGGGTTAGTCTTCCTCTCCCTCCTCAGTCCTTGTTTGTCTTCATTCGAGAGGATTTCACTGTCCATGAAAACCATCCACATAACACTGGCTTCTCAGTTCTTTGACCACCTCAACTGAAATAACCTTTGCCCCCAACAGGCCTACCACCATACTCCGCAATTGTCTTCTCAACTGCTCCACTCTTGAAACCTCAAATTCAGTCAGCCCTCACTGACCTTCACTCCCATGCCCCTTCTACGTCCTCCCTGCTATCAACCCCATCTCCACTTCAATCCCTAAGCAGTCTAGACTCCTTGGACCATTACTCTAATCACTTTTGCTGAGTCCTTAACATCTTCACCTTGTCATCCTTTCATCTTACAGAGCGAAACCCCAATCCTCAATCGTCTCCCATCTCCACTCCTACAACTCGATGCTGAGTGTTGTCATAGGAAATCACATAATCACTCTGACTAATGCCACTACAAATTCAGTCTCTCACCTCAGCTGTGACCCCTAGTTTGCCTGAGGAGTTCTTCATCATGTTCTGTATCCACTTTCCTCAAATCTCCTAGCGTACTACTTCCCTCTTCACCTTCAGTGGATGACCATGCAAAAATACCACAGGGAAAAAAAAAAACAGAAGACATCAGGCAGGCACTCCCTCAACTTTTTACCTTAATACCTGCAAACACCTACATGATATCATACTTTCTTCTGACAAAATGTTAGAGATGTGCTTCTACCATCTAAGGCTAAAATCTCCAGAGTGTGCTTGAGCTCATCCGTCTGGGTCCTCATAGGGATTTTGCTCCATCATACATTCATTCTGTCTCCTCCTGCCTCCTTTCTGGCTCCCTCCCATATTAGTATTTCACGATGCTCCGATTTCCCTCATCTCTCCACCCCACCAACACAAAATTCTCACTGCAATTTCATATCCTTTCTTCTACGTCCAGCTTTAGCTTATTCTTCCCTTGAATTCACAGCCAAATTTCTGGAAGACGTGTTCATGTTTGTTGTCCCTACTGCTTTATCTCCCATTTCCTGCTTAAGCCACAGTTAAATAGCTTCTACTCTCAATACTCTATTAATATGGTTGCTCCCGGGGTTTCCCTGGTGGCACAGTGGTTGAGAGTCTGCCTGCCAATGCAGGGGACACGGGTTCGAGCCCTGGTCTGGGAAGATCCCACATACCGCGGAGCAACTGGGCCCGTGAGCCACAACTACTGAGCCTGCGCCTCTGGAGTTTGTGCTCCGCAACAAGAGAGGCCGCGATAGTGAGAGGCCCACGCACCGTGATGAAGAGTGGCCCCCGCTCGCCACAACTAGAGAAAGCCCTCGCACAGAAACGAAGACCTAATACAGCCAAAGATAAATAAATAAATTAAATAATATATATATATATATGGTTGCTCCCCATGTCAATGTCTTTTTGCCAAATCCAAGGGCCATTTCAGACTTGTCTTCCGGTTCCTTTGAAAGCCTTGTACTTCTGGGCTTTATGCCCTCTTCTTGTCACCCCTTCTCAGTGGGATCCCCTTTCCTCTGCTATGCAGTTAAGTATGTTGGTGTGCCTCTGGGTTCTTTTCAGCCCTCTTACCTTACTATACTTTCCCTGGATCATCTCATCTACTAACTTAACTACAATTACCATTTTTTGTTTATTATTCCCAAATCTTTAGAACAGATCTCTCTCCTGCTTCAGACCTATAAATCCAACTGCCTACTGTTTATCTCCTCTGCTATATCTCATGGACTACTCAATATTAAAATACATCTAATCCTGAACTAATCATATTCCCACTCTCTCCCCACATAACTCTTCTTGCTTTGTTCTAGTACCTATCTCAGTGACAAAGCCTAGGTTTTATTCTTCTGCCTCTCTTATCTTCCAATTCAAAGCACTAAGTCCTAACAATTCCATTTCCTAAAAACCTCTGAAATCTATCCATGTTCCTCAAAGTCCATTGCCACTATCTAGCACAGTGGTTAAGAGCACTGGTTCAGAAGCTAGACTTGGTTCAAATCCTCACTCCACTATATATTATCCAGCCGTGTGATTCTACACAAGCAACAACTTCTCAAGTGCCTCAGTTCTCACTACTCAAAATATGTTACCTATCATTAGTGCAGACCACCATCACCTCTACCTTGGATTACCCTGACAGCATCTTAAGAGGGCTACTAGTCTCCAGTCTGGCCCTTCTGCAATCCAACCTCCTCCTCTATCACATGCACGCCATACTGAACTATTTGGAGATCCTCAGACTTACAGTGCTATTCTTTGCCTCTGGGCCTCTGCATGTACAGGCATCCCTTGGAAATATTACAGGTTCAGTTCCAGACCACCACAATAAAGCAAATACTGCAATAAAGTGAGTCACACAAATTTTCTGGTTTCCCAGTGCATATGAAAGTTATGTTTACACAATACCAGAGTCTATTAAGTGTATAATAGCATTATCTCTAAAAGAACAATGCACATACCTTAATTAAAAAATAATGCTGTCAGAAAAATGGGACCAATAGACTTGTTCAACACAGGATTGCCACAAATCTTCCATTTGTAAAATATACAGTATCTGCGAAATGCAATAAAACAAGGTGTGCCTGTACTGTTCTGACTGCAAACCCTCTCTCCCTTCTAAACTGGCTAGATCAACTTATACTTCTGCTTTACATCTCCTTTTGGGTATCACTTCTTCTAAAAGCCTGACTCCTAAGGCTGGTGAGGTGCACCCCAACTAGATCCTTAGCATTCCATACCTACTTTCATCCTAAATATTAGGTGTTAATCTCAACCATAATTGCTTCTTTAGACTGTAAGTTCCTTGAAGATAGTGACCATGCCTTATTCACTACTATGTCCCTAGGGACTAGGATAGTGATGGGCACATAGAAGACATTCAACCAATACCTGTTGAATAAATTATTGAGTATGCACTGCTTGCACACCTTTTAATTAACTTTATCTAAAATTTAAAATGTTACATCTAACCAATCATGTCACCAATCTATACAGCCCTTTAATGTAGAAGGGATTTCTTATTTTCTACCGTATATCCTATGGAAGAAGTGATCTGAATACAGACACACCACATTTTGTAGAATGCAAGTAACCTTAAAATTGACTTAACTGCCACATTTTAGAAGAAATTTTAAAAGATTTCAAAAGGTTGAGAAAATCCTTAATGCACAGTGAAAAGAGACAATAAAAGGAGGTTTTTTTATTCAAAGGTATAACTGGATAAGTAGATTTGTTTACAACCATTCTTGTGAAATACTTTTTAAAAAAATACAACCAACTTCTTTGCCAAAAGCAGACACAGACCTCAACTATGATGACCTAATTTTTGGTGGATAATGTACATGATTAGGCAGAAATAGGCAAGCTCACACTGGTAGATTAACTATCCCAGTCAAAACTCCGTTTGCGGCCCCCGCTTCTTGACTGATTTCTGTTCCCACTTCGTCTTCTACCATCTTGTCGACTTCCTGACCGACTCCCCTGTCGACTCTGTCTACCTGACCGGCCACCAGATCGACCACCTGACCGGCCTGACCGGCCTGACCGGCCACTTGACCAGCCACTCCTCTGTCTGGAATTAGAAGATGTGCTTCCATCATAATATTCTTCAATTTCAGGCAACTTGGCTGGCACTGAGAGTACCCAGTCTGAATCATGCCACTCTGCCTGTTGGGATAATTTACAGGATTAATATAAATGCAAAATAGAAACCATAAGCAAACACGTGAATATAGGAGACTCTTTTCATATCCATTAGCTAAAGGCCATCTAGCCATTAAGTTCAAAGTATCTAGAACAAAACTGAAGACCAGAAAACAAAAACATATTCAAAGCTCATTCACTAAAGTTTCTAAGTTTTATGAACAAACAAAACAGAAACAGACTCAGATACAGAGAACAAACACGTGGCTGCCAGAGGAGAGGGAGGTGGGGGGATGAGTGAAACACGTAAGAGAGATCAAGAGGTACAAACTTCCAGTTACAAAATAAATGAATCACAGGGATGAGATGTGCAGCATGGGGAACACAGTCAATTACATTGTAATATCTTTGAACGGTGACAGTAACTAGACTTATCACAGCGATCATTTTGTAATATATAGAAATATTGAATCACTATATTGTATACCTGGTACTAACACAGTTTTGTAGGTTAATTATACTTCAATTTTTTAAAAAATGCAGACAATGGGAGGAAATTCTTCAAAATGCTAACAGTGGTTATCTCTGGGGGGTGAGGATTATGAGCGCTTGTTATTTTTTACTTTATTCTTCCATGTGTTTCTAGTTGTGTGCGATAAACATGTACTGCTTGTAAAATTAGAAAGAAAATAAATTTCATTAAAAATGAAAAAAATCGATCCTGTTAAAATTTAAATCTCAAATTTAACATAACAATACAAAGCTTGGTTCCCCTCCCCAGTGCCCCCCCACCAAAAAAAAAGTTTCTAAAAGTTAAGTTTTAGTCTCAGGAGAAATTTTCAGGCTGATTTTGGGACTCGAAATTCCTACTCAGTTTATACATTCTAAAAGAGAGCACCAGTTTCTCAGCACAAAACGAGTAAGTCATTAATAAGTAGTACATTGCTTTCAGCAGATACATTGACAGAAGCAAGGAGTGTGAGCTGAGATTAAAAATCTGTCAACACCAGCCAGGGACTAAAAAATGTAGCCACTGGAAACAATTTGGTATTGGGGTAAACAACTCAAGATATAAAAATCATTGCAGGGGCTTCCCTGGTGGTGCAGTGGTTGGGAGTCCGCCTGCCAATGCAGGGGACGTGGGTTCACGCCCCGGTCCGGGAGGATCCCACATGCCGCGGAGCGGCTGGGCCCGTGGGCCACGGCTGCTGAGCCTGTGCATCTGGAGCTTGTGCTCCGCAGAGGGAGAGGCCACGACGGTGAGAGGCCCGCGCAAAAAAAAAAAAAAAAAAATCATTGTAGCTCATAAGAGCATCGGTATGTCATATCCTGCTACATTAACTGTTTTTCATTGTGATCATGAGTTGCCAAGGCAAGTTAATATTAAAATACCTTACAGGTAAGAGTGAGCAGAGACAAACAGCCACATACACCACTGGTGGCAATATATGACCAAAGCCCTAAAAATACACACACCTTTCGGCCAAGCAGACATCTTAAGAAGTTCATCTTAAAGAGACAAACATGGCAATGCATAAAGAGTTAGCTATGCCAACATTTAAGGCTGACCCTAAATGCCAACATTTAAGGCTGACCTGTTTATAACAGAATATTAGTATTAGAAATAATCTAAATGTCAGAAAATAGGACATTGATTAAGTTGGCCACCCAGGTGGCCAAATGCCAGGGAGCCAATAAAAACAAGTAACTGTACAGTTGACAAAGAAATATGTTTACAATATATTCTGAATTTGTAAAAAGACTTTAAAAACCAAAAAATCCCATTCTTGTTTCAAAATATGTATATAAATATGCACAGGGATGTAATAGACAAATTCCACAGTGTAGGAATCTAGTGGACAATCTCTTTCTTCAACAGATAAAATACAAGGAAAATTTTTTTAAAGTAAGAGAGAAAGGAAGGAGAACCTATAAAGTAAACGAGACAAACATAAAATTACAATGTATGAACCTTATGGACCTTATATTTAAAAATATGTAGGAGACAGAGGGAAAATTTAAACAGAAAATTGGATAATATTGAGGAATTATTATTTTGGAGGGTTTAGTTATGGTATTACGATTGTGTTTTTGGAAAGTGTTTTTAATATTTTAGGTATATAGAAATGTTTATGGTTGAAATGACAGACTTCCTAGAATTTGTTTCAGAAGAATACAGGAGAGAGTGGGGAAGTGGATGGAAGTAGACATGAAACACAATTGGCCATGAGTTGATAACTGTGGAAGGTGGGTGATGGGTACATGAGGATTCAGTATGCAATTCTATTTTTTCATGTTTGAAATTATTCATAATTTTTAAATGTTTTAAGTTATGATACAGACTGGATATTTATTATTTATTATTATTTTATTAAGGAATGGTTAAATGATTTAGGCATTTAGCCTAAATCAATGTCATAATGATATTATGACTATGTTATTTTTAATCCATATCTTTTAGAGAAACATACTTAACTATTTAACAGACAAAAGTTTTTAAATACCAGGCTTCCCTGGTGGCGCACTGGTTAAGAATCCGCCTGCCCACGCAAGGGACACGGTTCGAGCCCTTGTCCGGGAAGATCCCACATGCTGTGGAGCAACTAAGCCCGCGAGCCACAACTACTGAAGCCCACGCACCCTCGAGCCCGTGCTCTGCAACAAGAGAAGCCACTGCAATAAGGAGCCCACGCACTGCAACAAAGTGCAGCCCCCGCTCGCTGCAACTAGAGAAAGCCCACGTGCAGCAACGAAGACCCAAGGCAGCCAAAAATAAAATAAATAATTTATTTAAAAAAATTTTTTAAATACCTGTAACCTTTCTGACTCAGTTGTGGGAGCATCAAAGCAAACACCCTAAAAGCAAAATGAAAAAATTTTTATTTAGATGCATATGAGGTGATTTTTTAAAATATCTGCTTGTAATCTTGTAATAGCTAAAAAAAGATTAAGCTTGTCCCATGATTGCCTATAGGACTAAACCAGCTAATATATAATAATGCATGACACAGAATGGCTGCTAATTGTACTTCCTAAATCTAAGAGTAAACCAGTATCTAATAAGAACTGACTACTACTGAGAATCTAGAGTATTCTCTAGAAAAGTTTTTGTAGACACTATAATGTTCCATGTCCCTTGTAAAATGACCCATCTAATAAACTCCTTTAAAAATGTAGTGCCAGAAACTTTCTCTCGTAAAGTGCTGAAATGTTTATCAGATTCCGAGAATGAAGTAACCTAAGATGCTTCCTCTTTGGTTTTGGTTGCTGGTAAGTTGCAAGTTAATTTAATATTCAAGTATAGCTTTGCCCTAAGGACCTTAGTATATTTTCCTTCCCCTCCACAATTTTTCTGAATGTGCATATTTGTCTCATACTTGCCACTGATCTTTTTTCAAGGTAAGTAGTATTAAATTTGAGAAAGATAACTATTTCCAATAAATGGGCTAATAAATTATAGACTAGAATGAACCTATGTTGTCAAGTGAGATGAATAAATGTAACATCTTTTCTCAAAACCATTAGAAGAAATCAGTCACTTATATTACAGATGGTCTTAACTTTGCTATTTCATAATTCTATGAAAATACTTAATTCACTTTATTATCCTCATTATCAATCAATAGCAGGCCACTTAAAAACCAATATTGTGTATTCTCTAAAAAATAGAGCTGTTTAGCTGTTGCAATTATAAGTTACTTAACCTTAGAAAATAAACACACACAACCACATGTAATATGTATACAAAGGCAGAAACTTAGAAAACTCGGATATTAGTCAAATTAAGCAGAATGACTTTCAGCTTTCTAGAGGAATGGGTTACTTAAATAACTCCCCAAATTTACAAGTGGAAACATACTAACACATGGAGAACATCCCATTAGGCTTCAAAAAAAAAAAAGAATCTGCTAGTCTTTATAATCATACGGCAGTTGTCTAGAAAAGCCTACCATATTTCCTTTTAGGAGGCACATTCTGGTAATTTGGGACACAGCATTACTACTCAGCTTTCTGTTAAGTTCTTTCCAAGCACAGCTAACATCCTGTATTTCTTCTGGGCTTTCCAGAGTCATGGTCACAAACCCCTTAAGGAATAAAAGTCACATTATGTTTGGGAAAAAAGCAGCAGCAGCAGGACAATGACATTCTAACTTGACAGCCCTTTTTGACTTAACCATGTACTTCTTATGAGCCAATAGTATAACATGACTGCTGAGAAAACAACTTCTTTGAAACTATATTAATAGAAGACTAATGTTTATAGATCACTGAAAGTACCATTCTTCTATACATTGCTGTAAAGACTACATTTAATTCTAACCATTGTTCTTTAAGAGGAAATTAAACAAACTAGAGCATCCCAGAAAAGATAAGGTAGTGGAGAATTAAGGAAATGCTGAAGGAATCAAAGTTAGCTTTGAGTGGAAAAACAAGAGGACATAAACCTCTTTAAACTTCTGAAGGACTATTACATAAGCAAAAATTACTTGTTCTGTAGAACTTCACTGGACAACAAAAGGATCAACATGAAGAAGATATAGGGAGGCAGTCATCTAACAAATATTTGAGTGCCCCCTATGTATGTGCCAGAGATGCTCTATGTGCTAGAGATTCAGCAGTAAATAGTCCTTTGTCTCATGGAGGTTACATTCTAGTGTGTGTGTGGCAGGGGGTTGGCATGGCGGCATTCGATAATGGTGGGAGAGAAGACAGTAAACAAATAAGGAAATATATATAATGTCAGATAGTAATAAGAATCATAAAAAAAAATAAAGCAGGGGAAGAAAATGAAAATAGAGAGTAAAGGGAGGGGTAAGCTATTTTAGAGTGTGATGAGGAAAGACTTCTCTGACACAGTGGTATCTGAGTAGAAACCTGAATGAAGTGAAGGAGAGAGCCAAGGTTATTAAAACGAAAAAACGTTCAAAACAGTACAAATAAGTGTAAAGGCCTTTTGTAGGATTAAGTTTATGTTTGAGTATCAGCAAGTAGGTTACGGTAGTGCAAACAAGCAACGGGAGAGTGATAGGGGGTGTGGCCAGAGAGGTAGCAAGGGAAGACCCTACAGGACATTCATGGTAAAGACTGGATTTTGGTTTAACCCATAAAAGAAATATCAAACCACTAACACCCTGTTGCTAAGATATTTAATCAGAGGATAGATGACCCATCTGCCAAAGAGGGATACTTTATTAGATAAAAGTTGGGAATAAATTACCTCTGATATACTTCTTAGCTTTAAAAGTCTATCTTCATATTTGCTTAAGAAGTATGGTTTAAATGTTTTCTTGAGAAGTATCTGGTGGGTTATTAGGGATAGGGTATTTGCTCAGTGCTAAAGTATCATCCCACAGATTACTTACTAATTATAGAGAGTAAAATATACCTTTATAATGGGAATATATGGCTCTGGGTATGGTTTGTTTTGACATCTGATACTGAACTGGCAGGGGGACAGATCAGATGGTGTTTTTTACACACACACACGCACGCGCACACACACACACACACACACAGACACCCTCCACATATACAAGCAATCCTTACTTTGCAATGGTGTTGTGTTAGCTGCAGAGTCTACTTCTCGATTTGCATGGCTCCATGGCAAACAAAATGAGGACTAGGTTCTGGTATGCAAGTTTCGGTTAACAAAGTACTGTGCAAAGTGAAGATGTCCTGTATTTCCCTCCAGATAGAGAGATATCTATGGTTCAATTTTAATCCTTCTCAACCACATGCAATTTTCTCACAGACTTCTACCTTATCGGAGGTGATCAAAGAACGTGGTTCAAAACTTGATGCGCCAGAGATGTGGGCTAATGCTGCAGCCAATGCATCCACTGCCCCTTTCTCTTCTATCAGTCTCTGAGCTGATGGTCGGAAAAAATCAACAGCAGCATAAGAAACGCAAGCCAGAGACCTATGGTTTAAAAATAGTAAATTTCTTGGTCAAGACAAAGGGGAAAAATTAAAGATAAGAGAATGAATGGGAAAAGAGAGAAACGTTTTCGTATTTTAATATAATTAAATGTCTGCTGGTAAAACTGGTGATTAAATTTTCTGATATGTGAACTAGGAGAGCTTAAAGATGTATAGCCTAATACAAAAGAAAAAAATCATTCAGCAAGGTCAGAAAGCATACCTGATGGCATCCATGCTTTTAGATTTAACTAAATCCATTGTAGAAGGAACACCTACACGTTTAAAAGTAATTCCCTGAAAATGAAAGAATTACATTAAAGAAAAATGGAAGTCTTTACAATTAATTCCTAAATTAATCTAGTTTGTTGAATTTCCATTTCTTGGACTTAAAGATTTCCAAGCTCTAGCAGATCAAAAGATTTTCTAATAAATCATCAATTACAAATTCTAGAAAGAGAAAAAAAATGTTTTTGAATTGTCTCTTAGTTACAATCATGGAATTTCAGTTGCAAAATAAAGCTGATTTAAAGAAAAGAAAAGGATGCTGTTTATATCAATCAACTTTTTTCTTATTATCCTCATTTTACAAAGTATATGAAATAGTGTATGAAAACACCCACCATAAAAATAGGAAAAATGTGAAATACCACAAAAACTCCAGACCACAAAAAATGTGTAATTTCTTATAGAAACTGGTTAGTGTACCATTACTCGACATAATCTTAACTATTACACCAAGACAATGTCACATTCATCCATTTACAATACTGGACTAAGAGGTACTGAAATCACAATGTACTTCTGATTTTAGTATCAAGGGAGAAGTTCAAGGGAAAAATGAGAAAGTCAGCTCCTCTGTCTTCACGATAAAAGCTGTATTAAAACAAAGTCTTGCAGCTAATATAAATTTAGCTCTCCACATGCTTCACATCCAAATGCAGCTTAAACTGAGAAGTTATAACGATCTAATTGTGAGAACAAATACAAAAAGATCTCTTTTCTACGGCACCATTCAGATAATAAGCCTGAAATAATTTAACTCTACTTACTGCTTTTTGTTCCACATATCTTAATTGACCTCTTTCTCTTGGTTGATAAAAACATATGCAAATCCCTGTCCGGCCAGCTCTGCCTGTGCGCCCAGAGCGATGAATATAGGATTCAACATCCTAAAAATAAAAGAGGTAACTCTTCTTAAAAATCTGGCAAATTAAACACTCATTCCAGCATCCAAATAATAAGAAGAAAAATAACAAAACTACTACTATCAATAATAACATTTTTATTTCAATCCTGTTGCTCTTTTCAATATCCCAAAGGGGGATGTTGAAACATCCCATCTGCAATAAAGTGTATAGGATTTAAAAACTTTTTATCCACTCCATCCCAGGGTTCTTTACATGGCAACGTTTTATAATTCCCTTGCATGATTCCATGCCTCAAATCCAAATAAAGAGGTTAATCATTTGCAAAGGCACCAGATTCTGATCAATTTAACATCACACTAACAAAAAATGGCTAAGAGCAAGAAAAGATAACATTTTTCATATATAAGCAATGTCTTAAAAATAAAACAGCAATTTATATAGCTGTTCTTATTTTCTCCAAATCAAATCTCATTTCCTTGAAAATTAAAAACACAATGAGGTATCACCGTATTCCTATTAGAATGGTCATCATCAAGAAGACAAAAGATAACAAATGCTGCTGTGGAAGTGGAGAAAAGATAACTTTGTGCACTGTTGGTGGGATTGTAAATTGGTACAGTCACTATGAAAAACAGTATGGAGGATCCTCAAAAAATTAAAAATAGAACTACCACAGGATCCAGCAATTCCACTTCTGCGTATATATCCAAAGGAAACAAAAACACTTAATTCAAAAAGATATCTGCACCCCCATGTTCACAGCAGCATTATTTACAATAGTCAAGACATGGAAACAACTTAAGTGTCCATCAACAGATGAATGAATAAAAAAGTTATGGTATATATATGTGTATATATATATATATACCATACACATATGGAATATTATTCAGCCATAAAAAAGAGGAAATCTTACCATTTGTGACTACATGGCTAGACCTTGAAGGCATTATGCTAAGTGAAATAAATCAGAGAAAGACAAATACTGTATGATCTCACTTATATATGGAATCTAAAAAAAAAAACCAATAACAACAAACAAAAAACTAAACTCATAGAAACAGAGATCAGACTTGTGGCTACCAGAAGCAGAGGATGGGGGGAGGGAGAAATGAAGGAAGGTGGTCAAAAGATACAAACTTCCAGTTAAACAATAAGTACTATGGGTGTAATGTACAACATGATGACTACAGCTAACACTGCTATATGACATAGTATAGGAAAGTTGTGAAGAGAGTAAAGCACAAGAGTTCTCCTCACAAAGAGAGAACACTTGTTTTTTCTTTTCTTCTTTTATACCTACATGAGAAGATGGATGTTAGCTGAAGCTATTGTGGCAATCAATTCACAACATATGTAAATCAAACCATCATGTTGTACGGCTTAAACTTATACAGTGATGTATGTCAATTATTTTTCAATAAAACTGGGGGGGGAAAATCTTATTTCCTACCTGTGGAGGTGAACTCTGAATCACCAGGTCAACCTCAGGAATGTCCAAACCACGGGCAGCCACATTGGTTGCCACCAAAACTTTAAAACTACCCTCTCTGAAGCCTTTCAGTGTAATTTCTCTTTGTGACTGTGCGATATCGCCATGTAAACACTGGGCATTCTATTTGAAAAAAAAAAAAAAGGAGAATTAAGTGTATAGCACATATTTGCAATTCATAGCACCAAACACCATACAGTCTGTGCTCTTTTCTGTTGCTGTTGTTTTTAAATCTTACCTTCTGATAATTATAAAAATACATGCGTATTGTTTTTAAAAACTCAAACATTGCAGAAAAGCATTTAACATAAAATGCAAAAGCTTCCCTTAATATCAGCCTCCTAATAATTAACTGCTAACAGTTTGGTGAATATTCCTCCGCATTTTTTTTTTTTTTTTTTTTTTTTTTGCGGTACGCGGGCCTCTCACTGTTGTGGCCTCTCCCGTTGCGGAGCACAGGCGCCGAACGCGCAGGCTCAGCAGCCATGGCTCACGGGCCTAGCCGCTCCGCAGCATGTGGGATCTTCCCGGACCGGGGCACGAACCCGTGTGCCCTGCATCGGCAGGCAGACTCTCAACCACTGCGCCAGGGAAGCCCCGCATATTATTTTTTAAATACATACACACACACAGACCCCTCACAAATCCTAGCATATAATTTTATGTATTCACCTATAAAAATGGGGTTTTACTATATATGTACTGTTTTACAACCTGCCTTATAAATTTTTTATATCTTAGCCATTCTTCTACATCCATAGATATATATCTACTTAATTTTTTTAAACTATACATGATTTCTTCATATGGCTGCAGTATCTTTTTTTTGGCCATGCCACACAGCTTGCAGGATCTTAGTTCCCTGACCAGGGATTGAACCTGGGCCCTGGCAGTGAAAGTGCCAAGTCCTAACCATTGGACCGCCAGGGAATTCCCAGTATCATTTATTTTAGCAGTACCCTACTGATTTGGGTAGGATCCAAACTTTCATCTTCAGAAACAATGCTACAACGAATAACCTTGTACTTACAACTGCAGACCCCTTAGTATATTTCAGTAGGTTACATATCTAGAAGTTGAATTTCTGGATCAAAAATTATGAACATTTAACATTTTAATAGCTATTACTATTAAATTAAAACTGTATTATAAAAAGAAGTTGTAAATAAACAAACAAAAACCAGACTCACAGACATAAAGAACAGACTTGTGGTGGCCAAGGGGAAAGGGGGGTGGGGGAGGGATGGATTGGGAGGTTGGGGTTAGTAGATGCAAACTATCTCATATAGAATGGATGGACAAAAAGGTCCTACTGTATAGCACAGGTAACTATATTCAATGTCCCGGGATAAACCAAAATGGAAAAGAATATAAAAAAGAACGTATATACATGTATAACTGAGTCACTTTGCTGTACAGCAGAAATTAACACAATATTGTAAATCAACTATACTTCAATTTAAAAAGAAGAAATTATGCCCATTTACTCTTCAACATTCTATGAGTGTTTATTTCATCTTACCCCATATATATATATACATATATATATATATATATATATACCGCCCACCTGTATACTATGAATCATTATAATCCTTGTAAACCTAATAGGCAAAAATGATTTCCCAATGTTGTTCTAATTTACATTTCTGTAATTTTCAGTGAAGCTGAACCAATTTATACTGGGTTGATCTTTCATGTATGCTGCAAATAATTTCCTAGTATTCCAAATAAATTTCCTAGTATTCTTAGCCACTATTAAAAGTTAAAAGTTTGTAACAATTACTTAACTCCAACAGTACCTAAACTGCAGCATCTAAGCATAATGCATTCATGAGTGAATTCACTGAGCACTTGCTATGCTCCAGGTACTATGCCAGGTTCTGGAACAATCATAAAGAAACGACCCTGGGACAGACAAGTTGACAAGTATTTTCAATACAGTATGATATGTGCTATAAGAAGGTGCAGGGTGCTATAGAAATACCTAAGAGGGGAACCTAACTCAATCTAGTTTGAAGGGAAGGCAGCACTGAAGCTGAGACCTGACAGAGAATAAGGAACTAGTAGTCAGGTTAAAAAAAAAAAAAAAAAAAAAGGAGGAGGTTAGGGAGTTCCAGAAAGAAGAAATATCACACATAATTAATGTTTCTGGCGAACTACAAATATTTGAGTATTGCTGAAGCACAGAGTTAAAAGGAGAAGTGGTGAGAGATGAGACTGAAAAGGAATATGAATTTTATCCTGAGGACAATATGGAACAATTGAATGATTGTAAGCAGAAAATTTTCATGAACATATTTGTATTCTAGAAGGAATATTCTGGCTACAATGTATAGAATATATTAGACAAGGGCAAGGCAAAAGCTAGGGAGACTCAGATAGCAGACTGTTGTAGAAATTCAGGAGAGATATCAGTGGCCTCATCAAGGCAGTGGCAATGACCATTTATTCATTTAACAAATATGTGGTAATCTACACATCAGGTACTAGGGATAAAATGGCAAACAAAAATTAAAACTTTCTCTGTCCTCATCGTCTTGATACTCTGGTCGAGGAAATGGACATTAATCAAGTAATTAGGCACACAAATAAATTTAGCCAACAAGTGTAACTCAAGATGCATGGGTCTAAGAGGCAAAGGGCGTTTAGAAGAGGACAACCTGACCTAGTTTGGGGCAAGGAAGAATTTACAGAAAAGTACTCTGGACTGATATCTGAAGGATGGGAGCTGCTAGGCAAGACAGACTACAAGTTCAAGAGCCCTGTGGTGACAGTAAAAATAGCAGGTATGGTGAGAGTGCAGAAATAAGGGGAAAGTGTGATAAGATGAGGCTGGAAAGATAAGTAGGGGCTAGGCAGTAAATGAATTCAAGAACTATTAGCAGGGACTTCCCTGGTGGCGCAGAGGTTAAGAATCCACCTGTCAATGCAGGGGACACAGGTTCGATCCCTGGTCCAGGAAGATCCCACATGCTGCAGAGCAACTAAGCCCGTGCACAACTACTGAAGCCCACGTGCCCTAGAGCCCATGCGTCACAATTACTGAGCCCATGTGCCGCAACTACTGAAGCCTGCGTGCCTAGAGCCCATGCTCCACAACCAGAGAAGCCACCACAATGAGAAGCCCGCACACCACCACAAAGAGTAGCCCCTGCTCGCCGTAACTAGAGAAAGCCTGTGCACAGCAACAAAGGCCCAACACAGCCAAAAAAAGAAAAAAGAAAAAAATAAATACTAGTATATGAAATTGGGAGGACTTGGTGAAGGGAGTGGAAATGAGGTATAAGGGAAAGAACCATATGTATGACTCCCAGATTCTGAGCTTCTGCAACAGAAGTAGGGAAGAAATGGACCATTTTAAACCATAGGAAATAGAATCTTAAAATACTTTGTAGTTACCTGGATGGCAAAAGGAAGGAAGAGAAGTCAAGGGTGATATGTAGATTTCTGGCTTGAACTATGGGTATCATTCAACAATAGGGAATGCTGGAGACAGTGGGTATAAGCATATAAAAGAATAAACTCAATTTTAGGTAGACAGTGGGTTGGGGTGTCTGTGGCCAGTATGATAAACACAAGTCTAGATTCTGGAGACAGAGCTAACCTGGAAAAAGATTTGGACATCATCAGCATATACACAATGACTGGAACCACAGGAGTGATTAGATAGATATATTGATCTATACACATCTCTGTACTTCTATATTTCTACACTTATTGACTGCTTATTATAAAAGCACTATACTAAATAAATGATAATTTATTTAAGTCTTAAAAGTATGAAAAAAATTTTAATACCACTTTTTAAAAAAGATTATTAATTAATTAATTTATTTATTAATTTATTTATTTATAGCTATGTGAGGTCTTAGTTACAGCAGGCGGGATCTTTCGTTGCGGCACACGGGCTTCTCTCTAGTTGTGGCATGCAGGTTTTTCTCTTCTCTAGCTGTGGCGCGTGGGTTCCAGAGCGCGTGGGCTCTGTAGTTTGCGGTGTGCGGGCTCTCTAGTTGAGGCATGCGAGCTCAGTAATTGAGGCACGCGGGCTTAGCTGCCCCACAGCATGTGTGATCTTAGTTCCCTGACCAGGGATGGAACCTGTGTCCCCTGCACTGGAAGGCGAATTCTTTACCACTGGACCACCAGGGAAGTCCCTAATACCACTTTTTAAAAAGGAAACATGGGCACTGAAATAGGAAGTTATTTGCCCAAGGTTATACAGCTAGTAAGTAACACAACTGGGATTTAAATCCAGATCTGGGAACTCCCCTGGTGGTCCAGCGGCTAAGACTCCGCACTCCCAATGCAGGGGGCTCGGGTTCGATCCCTGGTCGGGGAACTAGATCCCGCATGCTGCAACTAAGAGTTCACATGCTACAACTAAAAAAGATCCTGCGTGCCACAAGTAAGACCCAGTGCAGCCAAATAAATAGATAAATATAAAAAAAAAAAAAAGTTAAAAGAAAAAAAAATCTTGATCTGTCAGACTCCAAACTGCAGCTAATCACTATGCTCAGAAAGAATATGTTAAGTGAGAAGAAACAATTACAGAGGTTAGAACTGTGAGGAATGCCGATATTTAAAGTACAAGTAAGGGACTTCCTTGGTGGTGAAGTGGTTAAGAATCCACCTGCCAATGCGAGGGACACAGGTTCGAGCCCTGATCCAGGAAGATCCCACATGCTGTGGAGCAACTAAGCCCCTGCACCACAACTACTCAGCCTGTGCTCTAGAGCCCACGAGCCACAACTACTGAAGCCCGTGTGCCACAACTACTGAAGCCCACGCGCCTAGATCCTGTGCTCCACAATGAGAGAAGCCACTGCAATGAGAAGCCCGCGCACCGCAACGAAGAGTAGCCCCCGCTCTCAGCAACTAGAGAAAACCCACGTGCAGCAGCGAAGGCCCAATGTAGCTAAAAATTAAATAAATGAATAAATAAATAAATTTATAAAAGCAAACAAACAAAAGAAAAAAACAACAACTCTGCAAGACAGCTGCTGCTGAGTGTTCTAAAGCAAAGAAAGGAAAGGTAAATTAACTACTCTTCAACATTCTTTCACTATTTAGACTCTCTGTTTTTACTGGATACAAAGCTAAAGTTACACAATTAGTTAAAATGATACTGGAGAAGATGGTGGCTGCACTGTCTTTGAATCTCCAGTTCTCACATAAAAACAAACAGGGCAGGACTTCCCTGGTGGCGCAGTTGTTAAGAATCTGCCTGCCAAGGCAGGGGACACGGTTGGAGCTCTGGTCTGGGAAGATCCCACATGCCGCAGAGCAAGTAAGCCTGTGAGCCACAACTACTGAGCCTGCACTCTAGAGCCCACAAGCCACAACTACTGAGCCCACATGACACAACTACGGAAGCCCGTGCGCCTAGAGCCTGTGGTCTGCAACGAGAAGCCACTGCAATGAGAAGCCTGCACACCTCAATGAAGAGTAGCCCCCACTCGCCGCAACTAGAGAAAGCCCACGCGCAGCAGTAACAAAGACCCAACCCAGCCAAAAATAAAAATAAATAAATAAAACAGGGCAACTAGGATGACAAAATAAAAAATCCACAAAGATCTATGACAAAACTTCGTGACAAGATATTTTCATGGTTTCCAAAATATGAGCAGGTAGGGACAAAACCTGTATGTATTAGGGGTGAAGGGGAGGGGGGGACTTGCTAGTCCTAAGAACAGATACTCCCTGGAAAGTATAATGGACCAATTTGAGAAAGTCAGCTGAAACTGGGAGAATTTCTGCACATTCAAGGGTAACTGTGAGACAGAGGTAAGGTGTGAAAGAGGCTGGAACATCCTGGGCCCACATGAACCTTCAAAACTAACAAACCAATGATCCCTTGCCAGGACAAAGTGTCCCCACATTGAGGAGAAATTATTGGACCTAGAACCCAAACTGAGGATGCCAGGGATCCCAGAAACAAAGGAAAGAGATGACCCAGATAAAAGTGAGGGGAAAATCAACCAGAGCTCAGAAAGTGGGAGACCTTTATTTCTTCTAACAGCTTTATTGAGATATAATTTGTAGACTGTACCTTAAACACTATCAAAAATAAGAGAGGCAGGGCTTCCCTGGTGGCGCAGTGGTTGGGGGTCCGCCTGCCAACGCAGGGGACACGGGTTCGAGCCCTGGTCCGGGAAGATTCCACATGCCGCGGAGCAACTAAGCCCGTGCGCCACAACTACTGAGCCTGCGCTCTAGAGTCCGCGAGCCACAACAACTGAAGCCCGCGCGCCTAGAGCCCATGCTCCGCAACAAGAGAAGACACTGCAATCTGCACACCGCAACGAAGAGTACCCCTTGCTCGCCACAACTAGAGAAAGCCCACACTCAGCAAGGAAGACCCAAAGCAGCCAAAAATAAATAAATAAATTTATTTAAAAAAAAAAAAAAAGTAGAAACAAAGGACAAAGACTTTTCATAAATGAAGAATATATTGGAAGAAATACAAGACTGATTAAACACAACAGATGATGCCTTAATTTTGAAAATTTTGAAAACTGAAATAAAGAAAAAGATAAAAAAGATTTGAGATAAAGAGACAAAGGATAGAGGAAAAAAGAGCCAACATACATATAACAAGAGTCCCTAAAGAAAAAAACCAAAGCAATCAGACAAACCAAATATCAATAAATTAGGATTCAAGAAAATTTTGCTGAAATTAAAAAATACATATATTTGAAACTACAAGTTGTGTACACTGTGTCCTCAGAAGAACACCACCAAAATATATTCTAGTAAAACTACTGATTTTTAAAGAAAAAGGAAAAAAGCTTTTGTATTCAGGCAAAAAACCAAATCATTTATAAGGTGAAAAAAAAAATCAGATTGGCATCAGACTTTTTATTACAGTATGCTTTATTCCAATGGAAAAACATATTTAATATACTGAAGGAAAGAAAATGTGAACCAAGAATGTTATATCCATCCAAAATTATTTTTAAGGTATAAAGGTACAAACAAGCTATTATCAATAGTGAATATTGTTTCCATGAGCCCTTCCTTGGGAATCTTCTAGATAACAAGTGACAGACAACAACAACAAAAAACTGGAGAGACACTGACACAGGGACCAAGGGTGTTATTATCAATGAATATTAACATCACAAAAAGAGAAAGAACTACACATTATATACCTCCTGATGGAAGTGCACCACTGCCTATGAAATAATTTTGCCACAAACAAACAAACCTGAATTTATAGGAAATACAGAAAACAGAAGAGCATGTTAAATGATATCACAGGGAAGCAATACTCTAGATTATGAAAACTTGGTATCTTAAACAATAATAAAAAGAACTACAAGAAAAAAACAGATGGAAGAATCCATATACTGAAGAGACTTAATGAAATCACACAACACAAGACTCTTATTTGGGGCTTCCCTGGTGGCTCAGTGATTAAGAATCCACCTGCCAATGCAGGGGACACAAGTTCGAGCCCTGATCCGGGAAGATCCCACGTGCCACGGAGCAACTAAGCCCGTGCGCCACAACTACTGAGACTGCGCTCTAGAGCCCGCAAGCCACAGCTACTGAGCCCGCACGCCACAGCTACTGAAGACCACACGCCTAGAGTCTGTGCTCCACAATAAGAGAAGCCACCACAATGAGAAGCCCGCACACCGCAATGAAGAGTAGCCCCCGCTCGCCGCATCTAAAGACTGCACACAGCAACGGAGACCCAACACAGTCAAAAAAAATTAATTAATAAAAAAAAAAAAGACTCTTATTTGGATCCAGGTTCCAAATAACAAACTACAGAAAACAGAGCATGTATGAGGCAATTGAGAATCTGAAGACTAATTTATATTTGAAGATTTTAATTACTATTAATTTTTTAGATGTCATAACAGTATTGTGAGTGTTTTTGTTTGTTTTTTAAATTTATTTATTATTCACTTTTGGTTGCATTGGGTCTTCGTTGCTGTGCGCGGGCTTTCTCTAGTTGCGGCAAGCGGGGCTACTCTTTGCTGCGGTGCGCGGGCCTCTCACTGCAGTGGACTCTCCTGTTGTGGAGCATTGGCTCTAGATGCACGGGCCTCAGTAGCTGTGGCACGCAGGCCCAGCAGCTGTGGCTCGCGGACCCTAGAGCGCAGGCTCAGCAGCTGTGGCACACGGGCTTAGTTGCTCCACGGCATGTGGGATCTTCCCGAACCAGGGCGCGAACCCTTGTACCCGGCACTGGCAGGCAGGTTCCCAACCACTGCGCCACCAGGAAAGCCCGTACTGTGAGTTTTTAAAAAAATAACCCTTTCCTGGCCTTCCCTGGCAGTCCAGTGGTTAAGACCCCGCGCTTCCACTACAGGGGGGCACGGGTTCAAACCCTGGCTGGGGAACCAAGATCCCACATGCCACATGGTGCAGCCAAAAGAATAAATAAAAAAAAACAATAATAATGCTTTTCCATTAGAGATACGTACCCAAATATTTATGGGCATAATAACATGTTATCTAAGGTTTGCTTCAGAATAATTTCAGAAGCAAGAAATGAGTGGGCATTTGGATGAAATAAGATAATTGTTGCAGCTGGAAAAAGAACACATCATTGCACTGTCAACTTCTGTGTATGTCTTGTATAAGTTTGAAATTTTCTACTATAAAAAGTTAACAGCAAAAAACACATGGATTTAGTGTTCTGATCCATTCATTCAATAAATATTTGCGATTCTTCTTATACACAACTCTAAAATATTACCCACAGAAACTCATTTTGTTTCACTCTTTGTATTTTCAAGATCACATTTGCAAAGTTTTAAGAAAATTTCTGATGAAAACGGATAGAATTCTAACCTGACTTAACAGATCATGAGAGGCTGGCTATAAATTCTTTCTGAATGAGACTCAATTCCAAGAATGACTATCAAACCTAGTCCACAAAGGACATGATTTTTTTTTTTTTTTTTTGCAGTACGCGGGCCTCTCACTGTTGTGGCCTCTCCCGTTGCGGAGCACAGGCTCTGGATGCACAGGCTCAGCGGCCATGGCTCACGGGCCCAGCCGCTCCGCGGCATGTGGGATCTTCCCGGACCGGGGCACAAACACGTGTCCCCTGCATCGGCAGGCGGACTCTTAACCACTGCGCCACCAGGGAAGCCCCATGATTTTTTTTTTGCTCAGTGATTCATACCTATAATCTCAATTAGAGAAAGCATGAAAAAAGACTTACCTGTTTTATGTGTGGATTCATGGCCATTTCAGTTACATTCTTTTTGGTCTCACAGAAGATAATAGCCCTCCCTTCAGACCCACTGTAGACTTGAAGGACATCTCCAATAACTGCTGGCCTCTGAGACCAATGGCACTGGATGGCCAGATGCTTTGAAGAAAGAAAATATCAAATATCTGCTTCATTAAAATTATTGAAAAAGATTTCTCTTGTACATTGTTTTTTCTATTTGTTCAAGAATTGGCCTTCCTGGAAGACAATAAGACAACGATTCTCCCCAACCCCATTTGAAAACAGCAATCAGTAGGTGAAAGGATAAGCAAATTGTAGTGTACTTATACAGTGGAATGCTGTTCAGTGATTAAAAGGAACCAACTACTGATCCATGCGACAATATGGATGAATCTCAAAACATATGCTGGGTGAATGAAGGCTTATAGAAAAAGAGTATACACAATATGATTCCATTTGTCTGAAGCTCTAAACCAGGCAAAACTAATCTATAATCTATGATGCAAAAAAAGCAGAACAGTAGTTGCCCCTGAACGGGGACTGGGCAGGGGCACGGGTGAACTTTCTGGGATCATGGTAATATTCTTTGTTTTGATAGGGGTTTGGGTTACACAGGTGTATGAATTTGTCAAAACGAAGCAAATGTACGCTTAAAATTTTGCATTCTGTTGTATGTAAATCTTATCTCAAAAACTGTAAATATTAGGTGGATGAACCTTGAAAACATTATGCTACACAAAAGAAGCCCGACACAAAAAAGCCACATGTTGTAATGATTACATTTATATGAAATAACGAGAAGAGGTAAATCCATCGAGATAGAAAGCAGATTGTTGGTTGCCAGGGGCTAGGAGAAGGGGGGAATAGGGAGTAAATGCTTAATAGTTACAGGATTTCCTTTTCGGGTAACGAAGCGTTTTGAAGTAGATAGAAGCAATGGTTGTATAACACTGTGAATGTACTAAATGACACTGAATGATACACTTCAAAGTGGTTAATTTTAGTTATGTGAACTTTATTTCAATAAAAAATTGTAAATATTGAACTCTAGCTAAAGATATGCAAACTAAAATACTTATGGGGAATTATACTGATTTCTGCAATTTGAAATAAATAAAAAAATAAGATGGATATAGGGATGAGTAGATATGCAATAAAGCAAATATAGCAAAATATTAATGGCAGAATCTAGCTGGTGGGTATATGCGTGTTCACTGTAAAATTCTCTCAACTTTTCAGCCTGTTTGAAACCTTCATGATAAAATGTTGGGGAAAAAATACACTGTAACATTTTAAGTCTGTGCATTTTAACATATTAATCTCAATAACATTGTTTAAAACAATTAATTACATAACACAGGGAAAAAAGAGATAAGCACAAAGAAGAAACTAAGAATCATTTGTACCAGGTATGTCAAAGTCTTGCTTCTTCCTCCCTACCTCTCAAAACTAAAAATAAAAAAGATCCTGAATCTGATCAAGCCCCACAATCTACCATCAACTCACAGGAAAATGAAAGCAGAGGAACATGTTAACTAACACCACAGGGCTGCAAATCAGCAAAACTGAGACTATGGGAAACTTGTAAGACAAATGATCGGTTCTTTTCAATAAAAAACTGCAAAGAAAAAAAGGGACAGAGGGACCTGTACTTTAAAGGATTTAACAGAGGAATGGATAAAGAAGATGTGGAGTATACATACAATGGAATATTACTCAGCCATCAATAAGAAAATGAAACCTTGCCATTTTCGACTACATGGATGAATCTAGAAAGTAAGTCAGACAGAGAGACAAATACTGTATGATCTCACTTATATGTGGAATCCTAAAAAACAAAACAAAACAAAATGAAAACAGACACACAGATACAGAGCACAAAATGGTGGTTGCCAAAGTGCGGGCAGGGGAGATGGGGACCCGAAACAGGTAAAGGGGATTGACAGGTACAAACTTCTAGCCACAGGGATGCAATATACAGCATAAGGAATACGGTCAAAAATATTGCAGCAGGGGCTTCCCTGGTGGCGCAGTGGTTGAGAGTCCGCCTGCTGATGCAGGGGACACGGGTTCGTGCCCCAGTCCGGGAAGATCCCACATGCCACGGAGCAGCTGGGCCCGTGAGCCGTGGCTGCTGAGCCTGCGCGTCCAGAGCCTGTGCTCCGCAACGGGAGAGGCCACAACGGTGAGAGGCC